AAAAAAAAAAAAAAAAGAATTTTCTGTGCATTAAAATTTTTTCACGTTGTTTATTTTGAGAGAGAAAGAGCACATGAAAAGGAGAGGGGTGCAGAGAGAATCCCAAGTGGGCTCTGTGCTGATAGCCGAAATCAAGAGTCAGTTGTTTAACCAACCGAGCCACCTGAGAGCCCCTGTGCATTAAAACCTTTAAGTCTAAAATGCTTTTAGAGGGGCATCTGGCTGGCTCAGTCCGTTGAGCATCTGACTTCAGCTCAGGTCATAATCTCGAGATTCCCAAGTTGGAGCCCCGTGTCGGCACAGAGCCCACTTCAGATCCTCTGTTCCCCCTCTCTCTGCCCCTCCCCCACTTGCCTGCACACGCATACTCTCACTCTCTCTCTCTCAAAAATAAATATTTAAGAAAATGAATTAAAAATTTTTTAATATTTAATTTTTTTAACATTTATTCATTTTTGAGAGTGAGAGAGACAGAGCATGAGTGGGGGAGGGGCAGAGAGAATGGGAGAGACAGAATCCGAAGCAGGCTCCAGCACAGAGCCCGACGCAGGGCTTGAACTCACACACCACGAGATCATGACCTGAGCTGAAATCGGACGCCCAACCGACTGAGCCACCCAGGCGCCCCATGAATTAAGTAAATTAAATTAAATTAAATGCTTTTAGAATGTAGAGATCTAAGTCAGAGCTTTTTAAATGGTCATAATAATTTCCACACAGTAGAAAAGAGGTTGTGCCAAGTGACTCTTCTACAAAAAGGCAAGATGGTCTTCAGTCCCCAAGATGCCCTGCCATTCCTGGGGGAAAACAGGACACAACTCGCGAGCTAACAATGCCCAACAGAAGATTCAGAATAAATACCACATTCGACTGAGGACTCAGGAGCATTTACTAATGAACTACATCAGAATAATTACCTGGAGTTGGCCAGGCACCAAAGGGAAACATAGTAACTCACCAAAGAAGTGATTATCATTCAGGAAACACAGCTAGGAAGTATATTATACCTGATCCAGACTACAGCAAGACTGGAAGCCAGTAGGACAGATTAGAACAAAAGATATTGCACCCGGAAAGTAAATATAAATGTGTATGTGCATTCAAAGGATATGGGAAACTTTTTTTCTTTGAAACTTCCCTATTTTGCAATTGCTGACCTAGTAATTCCTGATTTCTACACAAATTTATGACGTGCCATATATGACCATCACTTCCACCCCACTTATTCCCCTAACCACTAAAAACAGTTTAAAATTAATAATAATGGTACAAGAAAGCACTGGGGCTCACCAAGTCACATGAGAATACAAAATCTGTGAAAAACCACACAGCACAGGAGAGTAATTTTAGCAAAAGAAAAACGAATGAAATAGGTGCTCTAGTAAGGTCAGGGGTGGTTTTCAAACACCAAAAATACAATACCTAAACTTACCAATTTATAAGTAATGAGATGCACTCTGAAGATGTTTCAACTAATGAAATTTCTGAAAACTTATTCCAAACCTAGACACTGAAAATATAAATTTAACCCACATCTCAACTGACCACAATTTCACAGTTAATCACCCATACAGCCCTGTCCACTTTTACCCTAAACCGTATTCAGCAAGAGCTGAGGTCACAGGCAAGTTTCCAACAGTTGTAAAATGCTAAAACGTTGGCAGTATAAATAGTGCTATACAAAGATAGTGATGCTGCTAATTCTGAACTCAGTGAAGAACTGGGCTCTCAGTGACAATGCCTATGTTCAAATCCCAGATCTGCAACTTAATAACTGCGACTCTGAGCAAGTTAATCTCTGACCTTTAGTTTACCACTATGATTACAATAATCTTACTACCTAATAGGACAGTTAGCATACAAATAAGCACTCAATTAATCCTGACAGTTGTTGAACTTCTGACTGATGGACAAGCACTACCTATCAAGCATAAGCTTTTCATTTACCAGCTAATAAACCTCTGAATTCAAGGAACAAGAGTGGTTAGGGACTAATATATTTAAACACAAAAGCAGGGGCTGTCCAAAGTCTGGAAGTCAAAAGTCAAAAGTGCTGAAGACAAGGGACAGTTGGTAACCTCTCTTTTCCTATTCCTGCCAGTTTATATTAATTGCTTTGGAATTCTTTTTTTTTTTTTAATTTTTTTTAATGTTTATTTTTGAGAGAGAGAGAGCATGAGAGCAGGGGAAGGGCAAAGGAAGGGGAAGACACAGAATCAGGTTCCAGGGTGAGCTGTCAGCACAGAGCCCGATGGCGGGGCTCGAACTCACAAACAGTGAGATCATGACCTGAGCCGAAGTCAGACGCTCAACCGATTGAGCCACCCAGGCGCCCCAATTGCTCTGGAATTCTTAAAGAAAGCTTCTTCTAATCCTCTCCCATGTAACTATAACAAAAGCTACATAATTCCAGCTTCAGTTTGGAAAATATGACCTGTCACTTCTGGTTAACATATCCTAATGGTTAGCAACGCGAAATGGACATGGTTTATCTTACTGGGTAGTTCAAAACACTGTTATTTCTAAATAACTTATGGGACACCAAAAGCATTTTCTTTGGGCCTCAACAACAATTTTTGAAATCCAATTATTTTTAAAAGTACTGAATCTTTTTTAGTTTAAAGGCGGGAGGTGGGGGG